TAACTTCTACGTTTGTTTTTTGTTTCTTGTTTATAATGCGAGTAATGAAAAAGACGTTAAGCTCCTCGAAGTCATAATCTAAATGTAATTTCGAACCGATAAAGTGATTCGTTAGTCTTACGCTATTTAACATAGTTTTATTGTGCAATTTCACTGAGCGCAATTCAAAATTTTTACACAATCATATAAATAGACCTTACATTTCCATTAAATTTTATATAGCCTTGTACTCCTATCCTCATCCAGACATGAGTGGACAGCAGTTTCGACCTCGTTTACATCTTATCAACACCCCCAACTGGACTCGAACTGATAGTGAATGAAATAGGGTGAATACACTTCATATATAAATGATTAACTGGTAGTCTCAAAAACCTACCTATTAAACGAAATGAATTTATATATTTATATAATTAAAAACTAAAATAAATGAATAAATATATACAAAACATAACAATCTATAATCGTTTGTAATAACTATAGTAATCTAATCAATTTACCTTCTTTAATCTATCAGAGCTGCTTTCCAACTGGCCTTTGGCCATCATTGCGTCTTCGGCCGCAGAATTTGCTATGGCAGCTGAGGCAGTAGCCATCAGTGCAGCGCGTTTCTTGGCTTCTTCGGCTGCCTTCACTTGCTCCTCAAAAAGCTGACGGCGCTGATCTCTGCTAAGTTTGCTAGGCGTTTCAGTAGTTACTGAAGCCCCGAACGAGTCACCACATCCTATTAGATAGTTAGCACTGCCGGTTGCATTACCTTCAACAGATTCGTCACGTAAACGTCTTTCGATCAGGATATTGTTGGGGAGCGAAGTAGGTGCTGAAGTGGAAATTGAAGAGACGGACAGCGCAGAAGGATTGTCACCGATTGACCCTAGATTAGAGATAGAGTAGCTGAAAGGCAATTCTCCTTGGCCGATACCTTCGACAATAGAGCTAGGCAAAGTTGTAGACGGCAAGCAAATGGATGACCGGAAATGACCGTCCCGCTCATTTGACTTACTGCGACTGCGACGTCTGGCAATTAGGATGAGATAAGAAAAACATATTAACGCCATTATAAAAAGCAAACTTAGAGGCATATCTTGACTCGCAGTTCGAATGTATTTTGAATGGCATAAACAAGTGCTTCTATGAAGCACCGGAAGTGATAAAAAATAATCCAAGTCATTAGGATATATACTTCTATTCAGTCAAAACCTAACAAAAGTGCCTTAAGTACCATGAATTAGGCATTCATACGACATGTCTTTAGATAAAAGAATGGAAAAGTATTTTAAAATACGGTAAGCCAAAACTCTATGACGGCATTTGTATGATACTTTAAATTTATTGAGTTAGCTTGAATCTAAAATTTAATCTGTAAGCTCACATATAAGCATGACTATTGTAGTCTTTATAAAGAGAGAGATAAAAGTAGATAAGTGTAAGGGAATTAATCAGAATTAAATAATTTAAATAGAAGAGGTGGTGAAATAAAGTAGCTTTCTATCTTATGTTGAAAGTCGGTGCTTGCTTCATGCAGCTCTTTATTTAGCCTACATGAAATTTCAAAATTGAAAATAAATTTAAAACGAATAGTAACAATTAAAAGTATTTACATAAGAACCCAAATAAACTCACGTGAGAAGTCGGCAGTAAGATCTTCCATTATTCCAAGAAGATCGCATACGATTATCTATTAAAGAATAACGAAATGCATTATATGTAGTTTAGCTAGCATATCTTTAATTCTAAAATAAAGCCTACCCTCCGGATCAGTGTTTCCAAGAGGCACCAAAGAAGATTTAACCTGCCATAGAGTCTCTTCTGTTTCTTGGCGTTCTAGTCGAGGGATACGGTAGTTCTCTACCTAAAATTTATAACCACAAATAAGATATTTAAAGATAATATAACAAATATAAAAATAAAAAATAAGACAGTTTAGTAAAAAGTATTGAACATTGTCTATCCATCATAGATAGAAAGATCAAGATCATTTGGTTGCTATCCCCTTTAGCTGTATAGCGTTGGTTTGATCTAGTTTTCGCAAATTGGTAGGAGAGACCTTGTAGAACGTGCAATAGAAAGCAGTGACTCTGTACCAAAGATACCAACTATGATGGCAGGGGAACGTCTGGAAATGTACAAGTCAACGATTCTATGCTGGAAGTTATCGTTAATACCTTAGCAGAAGATGCAGGACTAGGTGCGTTCCACAAGGTTGCTATGTCAAAGTTGCGAAAACGAAGACAAACAAAAACAATATCTATCTCATTTAGTCGTAAAATAAAGATATAAGGCATAAATAAGAATGATTAGTTAGTCAAGCTACAACGAGTGACGTGCAACAAGCCATGAAACAAGGATAAAAAGTTTGGTTAATGAATCAATTGAAGAATTGTTTGGGTGATTTTCAAAGCAAGACATGAATGGTCAAGTCAG